TATTCTGGGGAAGGGAAAACAATCCTTAGGGCAAGCTTTGTTTAAGTCCGTGAAATTCACACAAACACGCCAAGTCCCATTTTTCTTCTTTACAACCACAGTATTTGACAGCTATGTGGGATAGGTCACTTCCCGGATAGCCCCATCATCAAGCAACCGGTCAATTTCTTTAACAATGGCAACAGTGTGTTCTGCGGCTGACCGCCGACTTTTTCTGAATAATTGGTTTACATTTGGGGTCAACGTTTAAATGGTGCTGAGAAACAGATGGATCCACCCCCGACATTTTATACGGTGACCATGCGAATACATCAAGGTTGCCGAGTAAGAAAGAAATTAGCTGTTACCTATCGACTTTATTCAGGGTAGCCCTGACCACGAAGAACTTGTCAGGATTCCCGTCAATTTCAACTCGATCCAAGGCCTCGATTTCCTTTTCACTTGGGGGCCGCCCAACATCGTCGAGGCTCTCTCGATCCGGCACCTCAATAGAATTCACTTCCAGCTCTCTTGGTGTCTTTGAGGTAAGAAGATAACATGTTTGTGCCGATTTCTGGGAACCACGAATTTGTTCAATGCCACGTTCAGTCAGGAAGTGAAGTAGTTGATGATAGGTGCTTGACACGACCTGTATGGTATGTAGCCAAGTTCGTCCCATGATAAGATTATACGGTGAAGGAGGCTTGACAACCAAAAATTTCACATCAACTGATCGGGAGCCCGTTTAGACTGGAAGAGTGATTTTGCCCAACGAATATTTCGGATTAGCGTTGAAGCCAAATAACGGATAATCGACTGGAGACAGGTCCGACTCAGTGAAGCCGAGTTTGATGAAGGTCTTGTAGTACATAACTTCCGAAGTGCTCCCCTAGTCAATAAGAACACATTCAATGGTGAATCGGTTTACGCATAGTTCGATGACCAAGGGATCAATGTGGGGGAGCATTACACCGAACAGATCTGAATCATCGAAGGTGATACTCGCAGCTTCATGGGGCCGTTTCGCTAGAGTGATCTGCTTATGGAGATTAGGATGCGACTGAATTGTGTGTACGACGAATGTTGTCGGTAAGCTGTATATCATATGGATTACCCCAACCGGAGGTGAATCTTGCCGTAAAGCAACTGTTTTGGTTGAGTTATTCTTTCGGACGTGTTGCTTAAGTCGACCATCTTGTACCAACTCCTCAAGCTGATATTTCAAAGCATAGCAGCTGTCGGTATTATGACTGTGGTCTTTGTGATATTCGCATCGCTTATCCTGTCTCGTCGTGTCGGGAGGTCCCACCATCTTGGGTGGCCATTTGAAGAACTGCAGATGTTGAACTTTAGACATAACTGTGCTGATCGGCTGCAACAATTCTGTCTATTTTTTCTCTGCGTGCCTTATGCGCCTGCTATCCACTTGAAGTTGCTCATTAACCTGATGAGGACATTGGTCATTTGATCAGCGTGAATCTCATTTTTTGTCTCGTTTAGTCCGATTTCGTGGTTCAAGGCTTCGTGGTGGTACAGAATTTATCGTCTGAACGATTTCAGATGGGGCCGTCTTGTTGGCGTTGTGCCCGACTTTGACCCACAAAGCGTTATCTTCCACTTTGCAGTATTTCTCGACTTTCTTCATTAATGACCAGACTATTTTAGGGGGCCTCCTGGTCAAGGAACTGTGGAGGGCACTATCAGGATGCAACCCCATTTTAAAGGCAGTGATGGCCATGGTGTCATTGCAGGCATCATCGACGAGATTAAAGCATTCCCAATATCGCGCCGAATACGCACGTAAGGTTTCTCCTGGCTAGATTTGTATTGCCCAGAGAGAATCGGCTTGCTTCGACTGGACCTCATTGGTGATGAACCTAGCCAGGAAGGATTTTTGAAGTTGATGGAAGCTCTTAATCGATGTCGGTTCCAATTTGTAATACCATCTGATGGCCAGCGGTCCCAAACTGCTCGGAAATATTCGGCACATGAGGGCCTCGTCATCTGCATGCAGCGTCATGGCTTGCTTATAATGACAGATGTGATCAGTGGGATTCGATTTTTCATCGTATAGGGTGAACGATGGAGCTTTGAACTTTTAGGGTAGTACTGCCCTTGCAATCCGTCGCACAAAAGTATCATGTTGGTCCTCTTCGTCTGAATCATTTCTTCTGCGCTTATTTTGTGCTTGCAGACTTTCTTCAAAAGAGCTGGAGATTTCGACTCGTCCCTTCTTTGCAGGTTCTGCAGATGATGAGTCAGAATCACTGCCACTATCGTGCCTCCGAACTCGAGGTCATCGACTGTCCTTTCTCAGAGGTCGGCCTTGGTCTTGGCACGTGGCCTGTTGGGATTTTTCCACCTCTAGGGCCAAATCCTGTCGAAGACGTTCGTTCTCAGCCATTATGTTTTCCAACCTCTGTTCATTTTTCTTCGCTTGATCCATAATCGCTTGTATTGTCTCATGCGCTGAAGTCGAAGGTGAGTCGAAGTTCAAGGCCCTTCGTGCGGTAATGTTCTCTGGTCCAAGCATATTGCTTGGAGTGGTATCATCTCGTGGTGTAAGGTCATCAACAACTACCGGAGGATCTTCCGTCACGCCCTCCATGGATATGCTGGAGTATTCCCACAGACGGCGCCAATTGTGGAGAAGTGGTTTGGTAATACTCTTTGGATCCTGGAGGGCGCTCGTGATCCTCAGCTAGTCACCTGAAAAAGAATGAACACTCCGGTTAGGGGTGCCAGAATTAGCACTCCGACAGATAAGTTAGTATCCACTCTCTAGGTTGTTTCTATCTTAAGTTATACTTGTTCTCACATGTCCCTTGTTAGCTGACACTCTCCTTATTTATAATCGTCATTGATGTTAACGGTTGGGCCCACTTTTCTTCCAATGAATAATCCCTCGTTCGGCTAACTGTTCATACTCGGTCTACAGCTGACTATTCGGCTGATTTGGTTATTCGGCCTTTGTCCCTCCGAGATGGAGCCGTATAATTCACAACTTGCTTTCTCTCTTCAATCTATTTGGCCTCCGTGCGTAATAGAATATATTTGGCCTCCACAGAAGATAACCAAAATATTTCTTCAATCAGTGGTGGACGTTTGAATAGAATTCTTAATAACTATTAAACTAGGTACATAGAAAATTTTAGAACTTATCTATTATCCAATCGATATCGAACTCTTTCTTAAGTTGCAAGGGTCTAGTGCTTACATTCTGTTTGGATAAAAAAAACTTAAATGCAATAGTGATATCATGTTATTCGTATCATCTGAAGAGAAAGAGAGATAAAGAATTGAAATGATCTCACTCAACAAAATAAACCTACACAGTTTTTACAACAGTGTGTCGATATATATATATACACAATAGTATAACCATCTAACAAACTAACAACCAGTTGTTAAGAGGATTTTCTAACATGCGCTACTCTTTTGTTAATATGCACTAGACTACCCTTATCCTACACACACACACACACACACACACACACACACACACACACACACACTATAGAGCTTTGGCACAATAGGTACTTGTGCTACTAGACTTAGCAGACTTAGTAGGCTTTGAAGCATTGCCACTGTTTGGGCTAGTATTTGGAAAACACTTGTCATCATCCCCCCTCAAGCTGATAGGTGGAAGATCGACTAGAAGCTTGGACTTGAGAAAAAGAAACTAACTAATAGGAAGAGCTTTAGTAAAGACATTAGCAACCTGATCTAAAGAAGCAATATGACTAATGAGAAGTTGTTTCACAGACACCTTTTCTCTAGCAAAATAATAATCTATTTCAATATGTTTTGTCCTGGGGCATGAAAAACAGGATTTGAGGCCAAAGATAAGGCAGGAAAATTATCACACCAAAGCATAGGAAAAGAGGAAATGATATGCATATCATGAAGCAACATCTGAAGCCAAGGCACCTCAATTGCAGCTTGAGCCATGGACTTGTATTTACCCTCAATAGAGGACCGAGCCAAAGTGGGCTGCTTTTTAGCAGTCCAAGAAACCATATTAAAACCCAGGTAAATACAAAAGCCAGAAGTAGATCTTCTGTCATAAGGATTGCCAGCCCAATCAACATCTGAAAAAGTATGAAGATCAAAGGAACTTGAAGAGAAATGCAAACCATGATGCATAGTCCCTTTACAAATCGGAGCAGGCGTTTAACCATAACAAAATCATCTTGAGAAGGAGTTTGCATGTTTTGATATGCCTGGTTCACGGCAAAGGCCAAATCTAGGCGAGTGATAGTCAAGTATTGCAAACCACCAACAAGACTTCTCTAGAGAAAAGGATTGGAAAAAGTTGTGAAAGAGGGCTGAGAGATAAAAGAAGATGAAGGAAGACTAAGAGGAGAATGAGCAGGCTTACAATCAGTCATGCCAGCTTTCTGAAGCAACTTAGAAGAATAGTGAGACTGAGATAAGAAGAAACCAGAAGAAGAAGAAGTAACTGAAATACCAAAAAAAAAAAAAAAGGGGGAGATGACCCAGGTCTTTGAGAGAAAAAATAGAATGAAGCAGAGAGATTAAGAACTGAATATGAGAAGAAGAGTTACCAGTAACAAGGATGTCATCAGCATAGACCAGGAGATATGTGAGAGTGTTAGCAGTAGTTTGAACAAACAAGGAATTATCACAATGGCTATTAACAAAGCCAAGCTTAAGCAAAAAAGAGGAGAAAGTAGAAAACCAAGCTCTTGGAGCTTGTTTAAGACCATAAAGAGCCTTGTTCAACTTATATACATTAGTAGGAAATTAAGAATCCTCAAAACTAGGTGGCTGAGCTATAAAAACCTCATCTTCAAGCTTGCCATGAAGAAAAGCATTAGAGACATCCAACTGCTTAATATGCCAATTAAAATGAAGAGCAACACATAGGAAAACTTTGATGGTTGGTTGCTTTGCTACAGGGCTAAAATCATCTAAGAAATCAACACCAGCTTCTTGAAGATAGCTCTTGGCAACAAGTCTAGATTTATGCATACCAATAAAGCCATCTTGATTCTTTTTTATTCTAAAGACCATTTACATCCTAAAAGATTTTGATGAGCAGGAGAAGAAATAAGTGACCAAGTCTTCTGAGCTTGAAGAACCTGAAATTCTTCAAGCATAGATTGATGCCAATGAGGACAATGCATGGCATCTTTATAGTTTCTAGGCTCAATGTCAAGAAAAGAAACAATTAGACCAACTTTGGAAGAGGCTGCTGTCATACTTTGAGTGAGCATAGGATGAGAATTGAGAGTTTGATAATAAGAAAAAAGAAGAATAGGAATAGTAAGATTAATGCCAGGTGGAGAAAAAGATAAAGGACAGGAGATAAAACTAGGATCATCTGAGACATGAGTGGAAGCAGAAGCTAAAGGAGAAGTGGAATCAGTAGCTGAATCAGAACCAGAATGATCAGGTGGATGAGAGGATGATAAAGAAATATGAGAAGAAACTGAAATAGAATAGGGAACATATAGGAACCTGAGAAGAAGGAAAAGAAAAAGTACCCCAAAAAAATGACTTAATAACAGATTTGGAAGAAATAAGAGGTGGTGAAGAAGATTCAGAACAAGCAAAAGGAAAAGAACATTCATCAAACATAACATGGTTAGATATGTAGATTAAGCTAGAAATAGGGTCCAAACATCTATATCCCTCGTAGCTTGGATGGTAATCAATGAATACACAAGCCTTGGATCTTGGTTGCAATTTGTGAGAAGTATAGGGCTTCAACAATGGATAACATCCGCAATGAAAAACCTTGAGAAAACCATAGTTTGGAATCATCTTTAACAAAACCTCATAGGGGCTGAGATTACACAGTTTAGGAGAAGGCATTCTGTTTATCAGATAGACCGCAGTAGCAAGATCATCAAACTAGAATTTTAGAGGCCAAATGATTGATCAAGCAGTGTGATTGTTCTCAATAAGATGTCTGTGCTTTCTCTCAACAACTCCAATTTGTGATGGAGTATGAGGACAACTAAGCTGATGAACAATTTCAGAGGTTTTGAGAAAAGCCTCAAATTGACCTATTCACCTCCCCCATCAGTTCTTAAAATTTTAAGAGAGGTTGAAAACTGATTTCCAGCATAGGATTTAAATTCTAAGAACTTAGTATACACTTCACTTTTATAAGAAAGAGGATAAACCCAGGTAAATTACTAAAATCATCAATAAAACAACATAGTAAGTAAAAGAAACATGCACTTGAGTGAAAGGGCCCCAAACATCTGAGTGAGTTTTATTTGCTGACAGTACAAAAGGGAGCCTATGACTCTTAGACACACATCAAGAATGACAAAAAGTATTATAATCCTTATGACTAAGGGACATACCACTTTTATTTGCAATGGAATGAGACACATCAGAAGAAGGATGGCCAAGTCTCTTATGCCAAACAGAAGCAAGAGAACTAGTACCAGAAAAAGATTTAGAAGAAAATGAATAAGGAAAGTGGTAAAGGTCATTTTGATGATGTCCTCTACATAGCACCTTGTTGGTGAGCTTGTCTTGAATCACCAAGGACTCATTGTTAAAAGTAATGCTACATTTATTATCAGTAGTAAGTTGATGAACATACAACAAATTTGGTGATATTTGTGGTACATGAAGAAGTTTGTTAAGCCTAAATTGAAAAGAAAGAGAGGACAATACACTAGTGCCAGAGTTAAGGATTGGAAGAGTATTTCCATCACCAATCATTACTTGATCTTGCCCTTGGTAGGGTTGATAAAGATGAACATTGCTCAGATCATTTGTAAGATAAGAAGTGGTAGCAGAATCAACATACCATGGAGTTGAAGAGGACTGCATAGATGTGAAAATAGAAGAAAAAAGAGTATGAGCAGAAAAAGATCTAGGATTAAATGAAGACATTTGTGAAGGTCCCATGGTATAAGAAGGGAACACATGTTGAAAAGAGGTATTTAGTCGATGCCTACATTCTAAGGTAGAGTGATTTCTTATTCCATATATTTGACAAATCAAGCCATAGCTCTGAGGTCTGCCTCATCTTCTTTCTCTTTGATCATTGTATCTACCACCTCTATACTGATAGCCTTGAGATCTACTGCCTTATCTATTTTGGAAATAGAAATTTTGAGATGTAGATTGACCAAAATATTGCTGTTTCTGATGAGAAATAGCAGATGATACAGCCGAAGTATTGTCTGTGGCTAAATAAGAACTAGTATTAGCAGAGAAAGTAATATTGTGCTCAGAAGTGCCATGTTTGTGACTGTTTTCAACATGTATAGCTTCAGAAGATGAGAGAATAGAGTTCATCCATTTTAAGCACCTCTGATTTGGCTCGAATGGTGGTTTTAAAGGCACTGTATCCCTCCGGTAAGCCATTGAGCACGAGAAGAACTAAATCTTCATTATAGATTGGAGAAGATTCCAGAGAAAGTTGTTCAACAAGATCTTTGATTTCTTCAAGATAGGTTTCCATAGATTTGGATTTCTTTGAAATAGTGCTCAATCGATTCTTGATCTGATAAATATGAGAGTGAGAGAGTGATGTGAATCTTTTCTCAAGAGCAGACCAAACATCTTTGCAATGCTTCAAATGAAGAATGGAAGAAAAAAATAGAAGGAGTGAGAGTTGCAATTATGCAAGTGAGAAGACAAGAATTGATCAACTTCCTTTGCAAAAACTCAAGATTGGAGATTGAGTTATTGCTAGAATCAAGAGTTGTAGTAGAAGGACATACTGTAGATACAACAAGAAAACCAAACAACTTAGTTGCTTCAAAGAAATTCTGAATTTGGCTTCTCCATATCGAATAATTTGAAGGTTCGAGTTTGACTGTAACCAAGGACTTGAGATTGGAAGCAAGGAGAAGAACATTCGAAGGCAATGATGGCTTCTCAGTTTGAATCACCATTATTGCTCGTGAGAGCTCTAGAGCTCTGATACCATGAAGAGAAAGAGAGATAAAGAATTAAAATGATCTTATTCAGCAAAATGAACCTACACAGTTTTTACAACAGTATGTCTATATATATATATACAATAGTATAACCATCTAACAAACTAACAACCAATTGTTAAGAGGGTTTTCTAACATACACTACTCTTTTGCTAATATGCACTAGACTACCCTTATCCTACACACACACACAAACACACACTATAGAGCTTTGGCACAACAGGTACTTGTGCTGCTAGACTTAGCAGGCTTTGAAGCATTGTCAAGCATTGTTACTGTTTGGCTAGCATTGTCTCTGTCTGGACTACACTTGCCATCATCATCGTTCAATAGTTTCTCAACATATTCACCATCCAATGTATATGTGACAGTTAGAAAGTAGGGGGTTCTCCCTCCTATTTAGAATTTATTGTTTGTTAGTAATACCACGTCATCGGTATCATCATTGCACTCAATTTTTACTTCCGTTTGGATCGTAAGGTAAGAAGAAAAAAAAGAAGTAATGATTGTATTTCACCTAGGTGAGAAAATAAAGAAATTGATTATGGTTTTTTACCATTGTGTTCGGATGAATAAAAGAGAATAGAATGTGATTTCTCACATATTTTGTTTGGATAGAGTAAATAAGAGGAAATATATATATATATATATATATAATATTTTATTTTACCAAAATAACCTTCCATATTAATAAGCTATTTTCTAGCTTTTTCCACCATAAGGTAGTTTTGGAATTTAAGAAAAATTTCATTAAACCCATTTCTTTTGTCACCAAATCTCACCACTTTTGGTGAGAAACAAAACACAACTGTTAGGTTTCATTAACCATCCAAATTGTTAGGTTTTTGTAATTGACAATTCCATTTGACAAAGTTCTTTTCAGTTGTAATTTTATTCACTCTTATGTTTTAGTGAGGATTTAAGCGTTTAGATGTGAATCTAAGCCGAATTGTGCCTATGCAGAGGAGTTTGTGATCTTGAGGCTTTCATTTTACCACTTCACTGATTATGTAGAAGGATTGAGCCAAAGTGGTTTGACCGCTTGAGCGGTCATTTGTGCGCTCGAGCGATAAATGACATCATCCAGTACTTTTGAAGAGTGCTTGAACTTCTGGGAAGAAATTTTTATCGCTCGAGCGGTGAAAGTTGCGCTCGAACAGTCAGCCTATATGTTTTGCACCACCTTTACTTACATCGCTTGAGCGATCTTCACGATTCAGTTTACTATAAAGTGCGTAGTTTGCAATTTTTATGGTTTAATCCATCCAAAATTTTAGAGAGAAAGAAAAGACAAAGTGTTTTCTATTTTAGGATGTTTTATATGTGTTTCCTTGGTGTATAGAAGGTGATCGATTGATCAACAAATTGCAGATTGTCAAACATCAAAGGTTGTTCTTATTATTTTGTTCACGAAAGAGTGAGGTGTTCTTCAGTGGATTTCGGAGAATTTGGGCCTGAAGCTTTGGTAGATTTCGGAGTGGCTCATCGTCGTGGATTTGATATTGGTGCTGTGGAATCAACGTTGGGGAAGGCAATTCTGAGATTACGACGGTGGTGGAAAAGGCACATATGAGTTAATTCAATTCGGGAGTGGATTCACTAGGTAATTGAGGATACACTTATGTAATTCCTTTGTCTTCTTAGAGGATTATTTTGTGACCTTGGCCCGTAATTTTTTATTACAATTAGAGGCGCTCAAACTGTGATTTTTTCTACATAAAATTGTTGTGCCGATTTGTCTTGATTGTTTGATTGAGATTGCTATTTATTGTTTTAAATTGAAACATAATCACGAATCAATATCTCGAGGATTTTAGATTTTTTACGAACAAGTCAAGGGGTTTCCTATTCTCACAATTACTCTTCTTTTCACACCAAATTTCTCTATCCAAACAGAGTGTTACGGTTGGAATCTGTTTTTACCCAAGTCGAAATTAAGAATGCCATATGGAGTCATGCAAGTAATAAGGCTCTGGGTTCGGATGGGTTTAGTTTCTTAAAAAAAAAAAATTGAGTATTTAATGGAAGAGATATTAAGAACTAAGGCTTGTTTGCTAGTGTTTACTAGAATCTATGGCTTACAAGGAATGATGCAATTTTCAATCGAGATCATGTTTGTTGAAATGCTCTCTGAGGTTTCTATTCAATACGAATTACCTCTTCATATTTGAAAAATTACACTTACCCCCTGTCAAATTAAAATAAGATATCTCTTAGCCTTTTATACATATAAAATAATAAAATAATACAAATATTTTGATCATATCATTTTAAGAAAAATAACAATCATTTTCTTTAGTTTAACTCACACAAAAAAAAAAAATTTGAGTTTTTTTATTTTTTATTTTTACTGAATTTTTTAAACATTTTAAGTAATTTTTTCATTTTTTAGATACACATAATTTAAATATTCTTAAGAAGTATAATATTTTGTGATTTTTTAAAAAAGAATTCACCAAATACATAAAAAAAAAATATATGAAAATTCAATACATTATCTTTTTTTGTTGTATTCAATGGATTTTTTTTAAAAGTTTTTTGTACAAAATTTATACTTTTTAAATATATCTAGATTAAATTGATCTAATATAGATATAATAGTGGAAATAAAAATGAAAATTATATTCACATATAATTTTTTTACAAAAAAAAATCATAAAAATGTTGTGATAGTGATATTATTGTAAATATAAATCGTATTTATGAGTGTTTTGTTTTAAAGTGAAAGGTCATCATTAAGATATATCATTGTGTTTAAAAATTCTATATAAAATTTATGCTTGTATATCATCACTCAATAAGAATATATTCAGGTAGAATTTAATGATAGAAAATTATAGAATGCAGTTTTGATGATATGAAGAAGAAATAGTAGGAAAAAGGGCAAGATGATTATTTAGAAAATTTTAGGATATGACATTAACAATTTAAGGGGCAATTTGTAATGAGATTATAAATCTTAAGGAGAGAAATGCAATTTTTTAAACGTGAGAGGGAAATTTGTATTAAATAGAAATCTCAAGGATGTTAGTGTAATTTGCCCAAAAACCCTAAGAAAGTAGACTTTTTTTGGCTTTATTTTTTATTTTTAGTAAACTTTTTATTTATTTTTTATTACATGTATATACTTTGTAGATCCTTTGGGGGAAGAAAAAACATTGCAGACAAAAAAGTTCAAAACAAATTTGGTTTTATTTTTTAAAAACTATTTTTAAATGAGTTTTTATTTATTTTTAGTAATTTTTTAAAAATATTTTAATCACTTCTTTGTACTTTTTAGATGTACAAATCAAAATGTATCTAAAAAGTAAAAAAAAAAGAGACTAAAATATATTAAAAAAATCAGTTAAAATTGATGAAAATTTGAACAAAAGTCTGTATGTATTTTTGTTTATTTTTAGTGATTTTTTTTTCTTAGATTTTTTACTTTTCGATTCATCAAATTTTGATATATTTAAAAAATAAAAAAAATAACTAAAATATTAAAAAAAAATTCAATAAAACTAAACAGGGATCTGTTTAAAAATAATTTCTAACAATTGTAACCAAATAAAGCCATTATGTCTTTTACAGCTGTTGCCAAACGAAGGGTTCTTATATGATTTTTAATGTGGTATGACAAGTCTTTGCAAGTACTCCATCTGTTTCAAAATAGTGATTCTTTTTAAAAAATTTAATTTTTTTTGATAGTATAATTATTACACTTTAAAAAGTTGATTTTTCTAAATTATCCTTTTGATAATATATTTTTTGAGAATATCAATGTCATAATTGTACTTTTTATATTATTTATTAATTTAAAAGAAAAGAAAAATAGAAAATTTATATTATTTTTGTACTTGATTTTTAAAGATGAACTAATATTTTGGAATAATGAAAAATAGAATAAGGAACTAATATTTTAGAACGGAGGGAGTATGTTGAATTCTACAACCAATGGAGTTAAAACTCTTGCATTTCATTAGAAAATTTTTATTTTATTTTTTTGCCTATACATGGGCTTTATTGTAATCGACATACATTATAATTAAAAAAAAAAATACCATGAACATATATATGTAGCTTTTATAATTCACGTAATTATATAAAATAAAATAGCAACAATGCTAGATAGTTTTAAATTATTTATTTTTTTTTTTAAAACATGCATGGCACACACAAACTCCATTTCCAGTTAAAATTTCATGATAATTGAGGTTCATATCTTTTTTCCACAAAATAGTGACATATCAGACCTACAAACATCAATGAGTGTGTTTAGTTTGAGTTTTCTGAATTAATTTTTTGGAAAATTAATTTTTTTGGTTTTCGTATTTTTTTGTTTTTAGTGAATATTTTTTAAATTTTAAACTTTTTTTTACTTTTTTAGATGCACCTTACTTAGATGTATCTAAAAAGTAAAAAATTTGTGAAAAAATATTTTAAAAAACTAATAAATACATAAAAATACAAAAAAATATACTGAATTCTTGTATTTTTTTATATTTTTAGTGAATTTTTAAAAGATTTTTTTTACAATTTTTTTACTTTTTAGGTGTATTTATGTTATGTGTGTCTAAAAAGTAAAAAAATTACTTAAAATATTAAAAAAATTCAGTAAAAATAAAAAAATACGAAAAATAAAAAAGTAAAATTTTCTGAAAACTATTTTTTAAAAAGTGGAAACAAGCCAAGGTGATTTCTCAAGCCCAAATACTCGATTTACCAGAAAAAAAAAAATTTATTGAATGGTAGGTATTGGTTATTGCCCTAACATGGCAATAAAAGCTCCTAATAAATTTTTTTATTTTTATATTTTTTTGTAACTTTATTAATGTAAAAGTAGAAGTGTACATTACAAAAGCATCAAAAGCCATTACAGTTACAACAATGTAAAGCAGATGACTTGGATTCCAAAAAAATAGAGGTCAAATTTTCTTCTCTCTCTCTTCCATAGGATTCTACGTATTCTCATA